TAAATAGTCAAATGACCAAACACACAAGCAACTCACTCATTAATTTATTCCATAACTATGACTACAGTCCTATTATGTGCTGGGGGCTGTGCTGGGAGCCAGTTATCACAGATAATAAAAGAAAGCCCCTACTCTTTGGAAACTGACAGTCTAGGAGGGACTACTGGTGTACTTATGATGAATTAATTTTAGATTATTATTGTAATTTAAATTAAATTTAAAATAAATGAAAATTTAGATTATTAAGAGTTAAGAATGAAAAGCATAGTTTTTGTATTGTTTCACCAGTGATGCTACTGAAATGTTTTCTCCTTCTCTTACTTTAAGAAAGCTCCCTTATAAGCCCGTAAGTCACCTGATATGACAAAAAGTTCTAAGAATACTCATTAATAAGTACAAATTATAATAGATTGTCAATATGGTACAAAAATTCAGAAGGTAAGCTTATTTTAAATTATTGATAATGTGTTAAGAGCATATATAGTTCCATAAATGCATTTTATTCTGTTTCATATCCACTGTTAAAAACCTAGTATTTTTTTATCTCCTAGATGGGACACAAATCTTATATATTCATTATTAAATACTATAAATTATATCAAATATAATATGGTATCAACCTCATATTATTTGATTTACTCTACACCACTTCAAACTATAAGAATTTTAATTTTGGATGCAGAAACAGATTTCTATATAGGCTGAAAAGTGACCGCATTCAGAATTATTAGGGATTAAAGTATTTGATAGATTTATAGTAACAATCAATAGTAATACATAGATCATTTTTCATGTAGTCTACATATAATAGGAACAAATTATTATTAATTCATTATTTTATCTTTTAAAAAAAAGTGATTCAAAAGGTTTTAGGGTCAACCTTATCATTTCTAGTTATTATAAATGTACCAGCTAATGGAGAGTTGTATTTTCAAGAGGAAAAACATCAGTGTGTATTCTATGTTCCTGTGATGTTTAAGGTCTCTTCACAGTAATTAATGAACTCTTAACACACACACAAAATTATTGAGCACTTATTGCAAGCAGGTTTCTGTGTTAATCACTCAGTTTCTCCCATACATGGTCTGGAACTACAGCTCGAGTTAGGAGTCAATTAATGGTGAATGGCTGATAAAAAACCTGCCAACAATCTTTCAATCCTACATAAACATATACATTTATATATGAGTGACAAGCTTATAATAATGTGTTTGAAAATTATCATTGGAAATATTATGCTAATTTTATGGTACCATTTATTGCCATTGTGTAATAAATACTAATTGAGACGGTAAATTTCTGCGTATATTTGATTCATAGTTTATGGACATACATGTGATACTGAAATCTGCTGATGTAAAGTTAGTGGAAAAGATCTGACTTTAAGTGAAAGTCCAGCCAAAAACCCAGTAACATTTTTGTTTTCTAAGCTTTGTTTTTCTGCTATACCACTTAAATATTTTTTTAATTTGAGTTGTATCAAAGAATTTCTAGCACCAACCTTCTACCCACAAAAATTAAATAAAAGGCATCATATTAAAAACATCATGACAATTACTTTTCAGCACTCTTTTCTTATATGAATGCAACAAACTGTGAGTATCTTCTATGAACCAGGAACTGTTCCTGGCACCGGACGTTAGAAATAAGACATAGCCTCTGCCTTCCAGAAGATGAATAAACACCTACATCAATAAATAATTTTAACACATTGGCACAGAATGAAGTATGCCCTTGGCCTAGTGGACTGGGAGGGGTTGCCCCCCAAAGTACGAGGAAGGTTGCCAGAAGAAGATCATCTGGAGAGCCTTCATGGTGATGATGAAAGATGAACAGAAACGGTAGAGAATAGGGTGACAATTTTAGCAAAGGCATGGAAGCTTAAGATAGTATCTTGAATTACTGGAAGCACAAACAGGAATTTTCTAAAATTGTGTTCTACCAGAACCCCATTACCTTTCTGTGGTGTTTGTGCCTTCGAATTTTACTAGTAAAAGTTTACTAGTAAAAGTTTACTAGTAAACTCCACATGTGAGCGCTACATTTCTGTAAATCTCAACCATCCAGAGCATAGAAAGGCACCGAGAAATGAAAAATGGCTACCACAAAAACCATGTGGTGTGAAGCAGAAGCTGACATCAAGGAGACAAAATTTGCACAATACCTGGGAATATTTAGGCTAGGGGTGGTGAGCTCTGCATAGTTCAAACCCCTGGTGATAATATACGCTAGAACAACAGCTGATGGTTAGAGTAGTGGCCAGGGCCACCAAGATAAAGTTATCTCTCATGAATCATGTTTATAAAGCAAGGGGTTGTGTAATAGATACTTAGAACTCTATCCAATAGGTTTATTATTAAATAAGAAACATGCCAATATCTGTGAAATTCATGTTTGTGAACCACCTCATTTCTTAACCATGCCAGAGGGATATTATTACAGCACAAATAACAAAATTTAGAAACATTAAGAGTCTCTGGATAGAAAAATATTTAGACTCGGGGAGTGTGAGAAAGGAAAGTTATAGCTTCTGATTTATTATATGTATTAACTTTTCATTTTACATGACAAGATTTCTATTTTAAAAGCTATTTCATGTCATATCTTTACACATCAGAAGTCTCAATAAATACCTGTTGATGAATGGAGAGATGAATGAATGAAAAAAAGATGTTATATGTTAAAGGAGAGATTGACTATAACAACCTTACATTTCACAATCAAAAGTAACATATTAATTTGACCCCCAAATGAGACAGCAAACAAGTATCCCATTAAGTATCCCACTTTTTTTCATTACAGGAAATGAAAGGTTTACACATTGATCACATAGATCAAATAGGTATACACTTAGATCAAATTTCTATTCTAAATAGAGACTAAAATATCAAGATAATATAAAAACACTTTATTTTCTGTATCAAATACAAGTGCCAGAGAGTCAATCCTTGGTAACGATAATGAACTAGATAATTTACTACATCAAATATTCTGTCCTAGAGGACATTAGAATAGCCAAATTCACATCACTAACCTTTTATTTTATCTTATGATTTAAGAATTGAAGTCTTTGCATTAAGTATACTATTGGTTGTTGGAAAAGTTATGACATACTTTTTCTCTTTCAAGCAAAAATGCGTCATGACTTTTCCAACAACCCAATATATACCATCTATCTCTACAGACCTTCAAATTGAATCTAGTCATCTAAACGCAAAAAAAATGATCATTAACTTATATTCACCTCTTTCCATTCACAGTCTATACATTCTGAATTAAATTTTACGCAAGTTTTCATTCCTTCCTTATTCAGGAAGTCTTCATCCGGGCTTATCTAAAACTCTTTGTTAGGGTACTGATATCCTAATTTATGTTATTTAGTTAACAATTGCTTTATTTCACATTAAATATATGAATTTAGTAATATGAGCATTAACACTCCAGTTTCCACAGATTTACACTATCTGTACATTTTATTCTTGAAAAGTATTCCACGAAGACTAGGAAAAATTAGTGTTGGAGTATTGATATATTTTATTAAAGAAAAATTCACTTGCAAAAATTAAAGGAGGAGAACTTTTATAAAAGTACATCTTCACAATGTACAACAACCTAATTTTGTTTTCTGTTCTTGGCCAATGAAACTTTTAAGTTAAAAATTACACTTCATAAGTCATTTTAAAAATATTCAAAGTACACGGTCTTTGTTTTTTTAAAAATTAAAAGTATAAATTTTTCATAACTGAAGATATTTGAAGCATTAGTCAATAATGCTATTTAAAAGTTTTTATAATCGCAATTATCTGGCCTTTTCATTTGGCTTCTGAGAAAAAAATGTTTATATGGACGAAGGAAGTGAAAAAAAAATTGTAAGTACACCTCTATACAACCAAGGATTTGGACTACAATACTGCATACAATTATATTGTTAAAAAAAAAAAAACTTCATATTTTCTTGTGTTCCAAAGTACTTAATTTTTTAATAACTACAGATGCTCTAAGACCAAAGACCTCCAAAGACGAAAGTGCAGTGGTTATAAGAGAACCTTCCGTAATTATGAAGAAAATATCCATGATATTCATAATATCTATCAAATTAACCTTTCAATTAGATGACAGTAATGCATTTATTAGAATAAATAATTCTCACCTCCCCAATTTGACTTGCGTCTCCCATATTCAGGATGTTAAAAAACCCTTGTTTTTCAACTTGAAAAGTTTGCCACAGTAGTGGGTGACATTTTATCTCACCTCCCCAACTTGACTTGCGTCTCCCATATTCAGGATGTTAAAAAACACTTGTTTTTCAACTTGAAAAGTTTGCCACAGTAGTGGGTGACATTTCAGAGAAAGGATATTCTGAAAAAACTTTTGAGAAGCATGGATAGTTTCATGACTTTCAAATTAATTCAAATGAAATTCTTATATGAGTCTGACATTTGCTGTGGGTAAAGAAGGATCACTGGGAGATCAAGTTCCAAGGGAGCCACCAGTGCCAACCACGTTAAAATTCACCTTCCCCAGGTGACAGCCAACATTTACCCTCAGACGAAAAAAGCAGTCACTCTTCATTCTCAACAAGTCACTTCAAATAAGCAGATTAGCCAAATTCCAACGGACCCTGAGGCTTTAGACAAAACAAAGCAAACAAACCAAATCCCCCAAAAAGACAACTCATGCCAACCCAGGTTTGCTGCCATTTCAGGGACGCCCCACAAGCAATCTTCCTGTGCACACTTAGAGTTGCCCTTTGGTGTCTGAGAACCCCTAAGAAGTAAAATTGCACAAAACTGATCACTTTTCAAAGTGAAGCTGGGGTGGGGGGGAGTGCTGAGACGGCTGAGAATCGACGCGCTCTGCCCCTCTGAAATGCCTATTTACTTCTGACAAAAGAAATAAATAGAAGCAAAACCGAGATTCGGAAGGAACCCTCTCTCCGCTGCGTGCACCGGCCGAGCTTTTCAAAGACCCCTGAGCTGAGAAGCGGGCAGGAGGCTCACCTTCCATCTTGCCGCCGAGCGGAGGCTCTGGTACCCGGCTGCTCCACGTGCTCCGGCCGTCGCCCTGCGCAGCTCGCAGCTGGCGGGAGATTCCCGGCGCGGGGAGTCCCCGGGAGCCGGCGGCCGCGTCGGCGCAGAGTGACGGGGGCAGGAGTCGGCGACCCGCCGGTGCGCGGGGTTACAGCGGCGCTGGCTGGCGACGGCTTTAAAGGACGCTCATCGCGGGGCGCCCCAGGTTCCGCGCCTCCAGTCAACGCTGAGAACCCCCACAGGATGGCAAGGCGCATCAATAAACTCTCCGAAGATACCTGTTTTAAAAGAAGAATGGATGTGAGGGCAATACCCCCAGCGGGGAGGGGGGGCTGGATGGCTTCCTTGCAAGTCTCAGTTCAAAGTTTGTCTTAATTGAGCAAGATCTGGAACTTTTGGTCTACATCAGGGGTGATCGCCAGGAACACCATCAATGAAAAATCATTTCATTTGAAGTTTGTTTGTTTTTTGCTTCAGGTTTTCATTGTATATGATAAAAGTTCTTGGTTCACGTTTTCAGAAAGTTTTCACACAGTTCAAAAGGATTTTGGCACTTTTATCAACCCAGCTCTTTCATTTTCTGGAAGCACTTTTCTCACTTTTTTTTTTCCCCCCTTCTGGGAACTGCTTGGTTGATTTGCCACTCTCAAAATACTACACACTTTCTGTTTATGTGTTTTTATTTTCTACTATCCTGCCTTGTTCCAAATGAGACCGCTTCCAAAAATACATATATAATCGATCAGAAAAGTAAAGAAAGTAGAGCCAAGGCATGGGGAGGAATCATCAGAGAGTAAAATTAACTCAATCGTAACATTAACTCAGAGATGTTAGTACACAGAAATGTACCCACCCGCAGCACCTCTTCCCAACATCCTTCCCACTTTACTGAGGTAAAGCACGTATTTGACTATAGGCTGCACAGCAGTGTAACAGTTTTTCAAAAGCAGAACTAATGTCTAAGGGATATTGTTCAGGTGAATCTCTGTAGAGGCATCCAGTGTATTGAGTGGGAAGACAGGCAAATGATGCTCAAAAAGTCCACCACCATCTTGTGAAAGCCTAAATTGTTAGTATATAGACATGTATGTACAAATATTCAGGACTTGGAGCATCAGCAGATCATACAGAAGAAATCCACACTTTGAGTGAAAGTGTGTTGTAATTTTATTAATTTTAGTTTATTTTAAATAGCACTTTGGTATAGGCTATATACATACTTGGGATGTGTGTGTATAATCTGTTTAATGAGTGAATAACTTACACTGACTTTGTTTTAAAATCATGGCACAATGGTAGCACTTGTGAAGCTTGTATGGGTTGGAGTTCTACAGGATAATATCAATTTCAGAGAAATATTCTAAGCGCTGGTTCTAATTTAAGTATTGAAAGGGGAAATTTGTTGTTTGTTAGTTTCTGAGAGCAAAAATAGCACATCAAAAGTAGCAGAAGAGGAACTGTAAAATTTCACAGGGATGGTGTAAGGATGAATAGTTATTTGGTTATTAAAAATTTGTTTTAAAAAACCCTTCTATTATCTTCCATTATAATATTCTTTATACTTAACAGTGGCATGTGTTACTATTCTATAAATAATTAGTTCAGAATTGAGCATTTCAGACTTCATACAGTGACACCAGGGGGATAGATTTAAAAGTAGATAGGTAAAATAATTTATGTACTGTTTCCCCCTTGAGGACCATAAATTCCATTCCTTAAGTGTAGGCTACACAAAGTGATTTCCTTCCAAAAAATTCAGTAGGGGGAGGGGTAATTTTATAGTGGAGAAACCTGACAAACACTACTTCAATCAGGTGATCAAGGTACAGAACAGTAATAAGGCACGCTAACAATATGTATCCTTGATATGATGTGATATGATTCTTTAGTCTTTCACCTAAAACTAAAACTCCATAACCCCAGTCTAATCATAAGAAAAACATTAGGTAAAGTCCACTAGAGAGGCATTCTGCAAAGAGGCATTCTGATCAGTTAAGGTCAAGTTCATCAAAACTGTCATTAACTAGCAAAGCCATCAAAAACAATTAATGTCTGAGAAATTATCATAGTCAAGAGGAATCTGATCACAAAACATAATATGGGATTCCAGATGGAATCCTGGAGCTGAAAAATGACAATTAGGTAAAAACTAAGGAAATCCAAATACAGACATTATTTAATAGTAATGTGTCAATACTGATTTATTAACTAAGAGAAATGCACTGCTCTAATGTAAGATGTCAGTAGTAAGGAAAACTGGATGGGAGTACATTAGAATTCTGTACTACCTCTGTACACATTTTTCTATAAATCTAAAACTGGCCTAAAGTAAAAAGGTTTTTTAAAAAAATGAATAACTTAAACAACTATTACTCATTTGGTTAAATCTTCTCATGATATTCAAAGTTTATCACAGAATTTACAAGGTTCCATCACTTATAGTAACTCAGAAGCTAATGAAACACTGGATTTATAATGTACTTTGACTAAAACGGGCATAATAAACTTCTAGCGAATTAAAGATAATGCCTAAATCTGCCTTTGTTATCAGATTTAGGAACAGTTGAGACTAAACCATGAATCAAGACAGAGTAACTGACATGGGTGGATCTGACTCACCGCATCACATTTCATGGCTTATGCTATGTAGGTAAAATTAACAGTGAGTAAAAATGAAATCACTGACAAAGGTTGCTCCTGGACCATCTGAGATAGTCCAAGCACTGACTCGGCTCAAAGGAAATAAAACTGAAAACTCTAGCTCTCACCCAAAATAATCATTCTGCACCCTGTCTGAACCTTGGGCTCTCTACCCGCCAGCCTACTCAAAACCACGATTGAGGGTGTCCCGCTGCTAAGAAATAGACAATACGCAGGGCCTTTCAGCTCACCAAATTAGCAGCCGAGAAGGAACCATGAAAGATGTGGGCATGATCTCTTCCGGAGCCATCTGATGAAGACCTAAAGCCATTCATCCCCACAGGGAAATCAGATTTGGGGGACTAGTTTTCCATTGGTGCCAAATTTTGAAAGCAAGGTTACTTCACAGCCCTAGAAAAATTTGCATGGGGGTGGAGTGGGGGAGGGAGAGTCTATCAACATCATCTGATACTTCAAATTGAAAACGAAGATTCAGGGCCTCCCTGGTGGCGCAAGGGGTTAAGCACCACACTATGAAGCAATTCACAGCCTCTGCAGCACGAGTTTGACCCCCGGCCAGGGAGAAACCCGCATGGCGCAGCAGACCTCTCCTGGCTCTCCTGCTGCTCCCCTCAGCAGTGTATTTCAGTCAGTCTGTCTGTTCTGCTCCCCACTCTGTCTCTGGTGGATCCTCTCACCACCCTCCCCACCCGCATCTCTGGCCTGTACCCCAGCTCTTGTATGCATAAATAAATAAATCTTTAAAAAAAAAGGAAAATGAAGATTCAATATTCTCCACTCTGGGGAGATGGGGAGACACCTCACTGGTGCACTAGTGGTTGTTCATTTTGTGGGTAGAAGCCTGCAGTTAGATAAAAATTAGGTTCAGGGATTTAAAAAAAGATTGTGCACAGTTTCAGCCAGAGTTCTTGAGAATAGGGGCATAGGAAATTCCCACGCGGGACTGTTTCTTGTGAGCAGCCAGTGCTCTCACAAGCTTCTCCCACCCTCAGGTCCTAATGCAGTGGAATCCCTTACCCGCCCTACCCCAACTCCGTACTTAAGACTCACAGTGTTCTTCTCCCTGAACTACTCAGTCCCTAGATTGAGGAGGTGCCTGCAAGTGCGGTGGAAAGTTTCTTTTTCTATAATCTGCTGCTTTAAAAAAAATAATTATTTTAATATCAGTTGCAGTTATTTTTTCTTTTAGATTTTATTTATAGAAGAGCTGGGGTACAGGCCAGAGGTGTATGTGTGTGTGGGGTGGGGGGGGTGAGCAGATTCACCAGAGCCAGAGAAGGGAGCAGAACAGGCAGACTGACTGAAATACACTGCTGAGGGGAGCAGCAGGCGAGTGAGGAGAGGTGAGCTGCCCCATGTGGGTTTCTCCTTAGCCGGCCAGAAATCGAACGCGCACTTCAGAGGCTGCAGACAGCTTCACAGCGCGGCGCTCAATCCACCGCGCCACCTGGGAGGCCCTATAATCTGCTTCTTCCCCGGGGAGGCTGAGAACCAAGTGTCCCAGACTATGGGCAAAAATGGCGCCAGGACTTAGGCGCGAAGCACCAGCACGTGGCCAGCCACGTGCGCAGAGGGGGCGGGGCCCAGCGCCCCGCCCCCACGCGCGAGCCCCGCCCCCTCTGGAACACGCATGCGCTCTTCGGGCGCTTCGGCGCCCGTGGTCGCGACGGACCGGTAGGATTGCGGACCCCGTCGGTTTGCTACGCTCGGTGGAGGAGAGATGGGGAGGCGTTGGGGGGGCCCTGAGATAGGAAGGAGCCTCCCCCTCGACGCCTCCCGCGACGCTAACCCCTGAGCCGTGATGCGAGCGTGGGTGCTAGTCTCCGCGGTGCTCTGGTGCCTCACTGGAGGTGGGGGTCCCCCCGCCCCCCTCACTGCCCCCCACTTCCCTGCCTGCCGCGTCCGCCTCTCCCCACCCTGTCCCACTCTGGATCTGGCTCCTCTTTGCCCTAACAAGTCGTGTTTTCTTTGCTTGGCAGTTGGATGGCAGCGTTTCTCCCAACGCACTAAGAAAGGCTTCATTTATGGCCAGCCGGGACACCCATGTAGGTAATCAGCACCTGCGCGAGGCGCTGCCGGCCGTCGGCGGGGAGGGGGCCGGGGCGGGGCGGGGCGGGGCCGGGGGCTGGCCTGCTGAGGTTTTCCCCGGGGAGGGAAGGGATGCAGATTTGATTGACGGTCTCCAGTGTGCCCGGCTCTCCCCGAAGGTTGCATTTTCCTCCTTAGAGCTACCCTGCCTCACCTCAGTGGCATCACCTGCTAAAGACGCCCAGCTCGGAGGGAGCTCGGATTCAATCCGCATCTCTCTCAAAGCCTGCTCTCTCTGCAGCTTTACGATGCGAGACCCCCTGAGTAGAGGTGTTGCCTCTCTTGCAACGCCCTTATCCCTTCCCGTGTGGACTAGAAGGGCCACACATCGTTCCAGGCTCAACTCAAACGTCCTTCGCTACTGTATGGAACATCCCACACCCCCCAGGAGAGCAGCCACCCAGCTGACTTTAGATGCCTTTGGGCCAGTGCATAGCATTTGTCATGTTAGGACCCGCTCCCTGTTTAGCGCGCCCTCCTGCTGTCCCTGCCACCACCAAATTTTGGGACGGTGACTATTTTGTATGTTCAGAGACTGCCATCCAGGAGGCTTTAAAATTAATATTCTGTCGGATTGCATTGGTTCCTAGCAGACAAGTGCTGTTTCCACCGAATCTGAACAGGGATAAATAATTGCAGAAAAATCTCTCTAGTACGCCTCACATAGTTTTCATTATTGTTCCCAACAAAGGACATTTATAGCTAATAGCAAGTTTCCCTTTGAGATGACAATGATCATCTTTAACATAGTTTGCCATCAAGAGCCAGTTCCTTTCTGTTCTGTAAATTTATTCCACTTAACCCTTCGAAAAGTTAAGAGTCAAAGTGACTTCTGAATCTATCCATTAAAATGACCTAAAATGAACATTTTTGTAAACAAAACTATAATATCACAGAAAAATTATCAGTCTAAAAATTTACAGTAAGAAGCAAAAACAACTAGCATTTAAAGTGTCATGATATGATGATTTTTTAGGTAGTCAAATCCAAAAAGAACTAGTTGGAATATTTTTGGAACAAAATGGTGGAAAGTGTAGTTTTTAGTTTTGCTGTACAGTGTAGTTCTACATTATTTTATTTTATCACAGTGAAAATATATGTAAAATTACATCACAATAGCCCAGTCATTGTCTGTATGGATTTGAAACGTGCTAAAAAAGAAATAGTGGACCCCACCTACTTATGGATTGGGCCTGATGAAAAAGCATTAACAGGTAAATTATTTTATTTTAATATCTTTTTAAATAATGAGAACGTTTTAAAAAGCACTGTTACTTATTGGAATGAATAAATTGAAATTTAATTTTAACTGCATTTTCCCTTGCTCCATTAAATAAATCATGTTATATTTTGGTCTGCGCCTTATTTTCTCCTATTGCAAAAACTGAAGCAGTTAATTTTTGTACCCTACTTTCCAGAGCTGTATTAGTTCAAATGTTGTTATAAAATCTGCAGTTTATCTTTCCTTGTTAAATCTGTAATCGGAAGAGGACGTGTCTAACATATAATTTTTCATGATGTTAGTGTCTTAGAAATGAAGCATTATTGTCTTTATGTGAAGAAATTGGATAGTAGAACAGGGCAGTATACTTTCACCTCCTGAATTATTGGCATAAACGAAATAAAATCAGATGCCAAGAAGTGAATTAAAGAAAACCAAAGTGTACTTATCTCCTGTGGTTTTAGACTTGTTGGATTCTTGAAGTTAAAGTAGTTCTTTAATTAAAAAAAAATTGTATTTAACCCCACATTTACTAAATAATGTTTGAATTGTTATATGCAAAGTAATCAGGTGATTTACCATTCATGTTTAGGAAATAATCACATAAATATAACTGACACAGGAAAACTGATAGTGAAAGATTTTTTGGAGCCTTTGTCCGGATTTTACACATGTACTCTTTCTTATAAGACAGTCAAAGCAGAAACACAAGAAGAAACAATTGTAAAGCAGCGATACGACTTTTTGATATTTGGTAAGAATATAGGCACATCAGAATTAATAGTATGGTTTCTTAATTTAGTGTGTGTAATCGTTATATGAAAAATTTGGCATATTTATCCAAACTCTTAAATTGACATCAAGATAGTGTGTCCTCAACAATCTTATTTCAGCCTCCCACTTCCCACTATCCAGGTAGGCAAGCACAATCTACTTTCTCATAATTGTGCCAACAATTTTAAAAAATCTATTTTTTTTATTCTGTAAAAGCAACTTAATCACCCTTTTCTTTTTTTAAAAAAGATTTATTTATTTATTTATACAAGCACTGGGTACAGTCAGAAGCGTGGGAGGGTGAGAGGATTCACCAGAGCCAGAGCGGGGAACAGAACAGGCAGATGGACCAAAACACACTGCTGAGGGGAGCAGAGGGCGGCAGGAGAGGTCTGCCTGCCATGTGGGACCCTCGCTGGTGGCTGGGGATTGAACCGGCGCTGCAGAGGCTGGGGGCAGCTTCGCAACCCAGCACTCAACTGCTGCGCCACCAGGGGAGGCCCTTAATCACCTTTTTCACTGGACTGTGCAGACAGCAGTGACTTTCTGGAAATTAAGACCCTCACCCCTGAAATCTTCCTTTTTTTCCTTGAGACTGTTAACTCATCTATTTAGTGAAGCCACTCCCCTCTTACCCTGAGTATATCTGATGAAAATAACTTTTTTATTAAAATTACTAATTTTGTATATTTTTGTGAGTACAAACTGACAAAATATTAGGTTAAATTCCTATCTGGATTTGTAAAATTGATAGGATTTCATATTGCACATACTGAATTGAAATTGAAAATTGAATTGACTTGAAAATTAAGGAAAATTAAATAGAAATAAATGCTAAGCCCAGTTGTTTTCATTTTCATCTATTGAAGCTTATCGGGAACCTGATTATTCATATCAGATGGCTGTACGTTTTACCACAAAATCTTGCATAGGAAAATACAATGACCTGCTCTTTAGAGTGCTGAAGAAAATCTTGGATAATTTAATCTCTGATTTGTCATGCCATGTCATAGAACCATCATATAAATGTCATTTTGTTAAGGTTCCAAATCGTGGCCTCGTACATGAGCTCTTTATAGCCTTTCAAGGTAAAAACATTTTTTTTACAGTTCTTTAACTTTATCAGTATAACTTGAACCATGATAGATTACAAAATTAATTACCATATTAATGTAAAATAGCTTACAAATACTAGACCTTAAATGTTAGTTAAGTACTAGAGTATGTTGTTATTAGCCTGGTTAGGTTGTAAAGATTAACACATTATTTACCTTCAAATTTGATACATTATTGCTTTTAGAAGTCAGTGTACTTATTAACACTTTATAAATGTGAAGCTAATATTTCATTTATAGAACTTTAAATTGTATTTTTAGGAACTTAATAAAAGGGAGGAACCATATCAAGTTTATTTCCATTCATTTTAAAGTCTTGTAGTTACTTCCATTAGCCCCCAGATGGAGTGAAATCATAATGTATAAATTATTCAAATTGTGTACCTTACTTTATTACTAGGGTTAGATAGATGAAACTCATGCATGCATTGGTACTGAATTCAGCATTTGGAGCTTATTGGAACATTTGGAACTGTAGAATCCTTTCGTGAAGATGTCATTTTTTTCTCTCCAGTTAATCCTTTTGCACCAGGGTGGAAAGGTACATGCAATGATTCTGTTGACTGTGAAGATATCACAAATCATAATATCCTGGAGGTGAGAATTTCAGTGTAAGGAGAGAAGTATCTTAATAACCAATAAAACTTTTTTAAATTTTTGTAAATGCTTCATTTTGTTAATTAGAAAATAACTTCAAAAACCTATTTCTCTATGTTGCATTTATCAACAGTAAAGACATTTCTAAGCAAGTAGATTCAAATTACTCTTTAAAATAAATATTAAATACAAAGTATTGTTGAGTTTGTCTTTCAGTTTTTTTAACTGAAATTTTGAGCATCTTTACTGTTTTCATACTATTTCAGCACATTTTGTTTTGGAATAGTACATTTGGAATATTAGATAGCTCCCATGTTACGCATTTTTCTTTGACAAGAAAAAAATCCCTGGTCTTTGTTCCCCGAATGGTAACTAAGCAGCAGCTTGAATAATAATCTCACAATCATATCATGCTAGATTAAGCCAATGGTTCTTCCAAAATTGTTTATACTGATCACAATTGTTCTCTCTTCGCAGCTATCCTCAGAGGCTAAGGGCATAGTCTTAAAAAATCCTTTCAATATCCTGGTGTAGTTCCTCAGTCCATACCTTTAATATTGTGCATGACTTATGGGAAACACTCAGTTAGCTTTAGATATTAAATTCTATGCTAAAAAAAAAATTTACATCATTAGCTGGTAATGCTGATTTAGAGAAAAGTTTTGGTTTCTATTTTCTATGGCCCTTAAAATAATGAACTCCCAGCTATTTACGTTTAGCATAGATATGCTGCAAATACTTCAAAACAAGTGTTCTTTAACCTCCATTTAACCTCAGTTTCTTTTATATTGTACATATGAGGCATAATTGGTGAGGTCAAGACTAGACAAGTTTTAATATCAACTAATTGAGTATTAACAAGTATTAAATAGCTTTTCGAGAATTCATCTGCATGTAAATCATGACATGTTATACTGTGTTTCACTGACTCTGATGTAGGTGGAGAAATTGGGTTCACAGTTCAGTAACTGTGCTTCTCTTTGTTACTTTTAAATCTTAGGCAAGAGATCGAATAGAAGAATTTTTCCGGAGCCAAGCATATATTTACTACCATGACTTTAATAAAACTCTACCAGCTATGCATTTTGTGGACCACAGTTTTCAAGTCGTCCGTATGGATAGTTGTCGTCCAGGCTTTGGGAAAAATGAAGGTCTACATAGTAATTGCGCTAGCTGTTGCGGTAATTATGAAATATAAATATCCAAATATTTTGGTTATATAGTCAGAAGAATGGTTGAGTAATTAATTCATTTAGGATAATTGAATATAGTGATTCTTTTACCACAAAAGAAAAAAATAACCCTGTATTTTAGCTAAAGGGATGTAAAAATTCAAAGCTCAAATTTCTAAATGTAATCATCTTCAGATATATTAATAGTTCTTTTTTTAAAAAGATTTATTTTTATTTATTTATTTATACAAGCACTGGGTACAGTAAGAAGCGCGGGAGGGTGAGAGAATTCACCAGAGCCAGAGCGGGGAGCAGAGCAGGCAGAAGGACCGAAGTACACTGCTGAGGGGAGCAGCGGGCGGCAGGAGAGGTCTGCGTGCCATGTGGGACCCTCCTCTGGTGGCCGGGGAGCAGCCGGGGATCGAACTGGCGATGCAGAAGCTGCGGGCAGCTTCGCAACCCAGCGCTCAACCGCTACGCCACCAGGGAGGCCCATATTAATTCTTCTTAATGTACTCGAGTATTGCAAAACATTTTCTGTAATGTTCTGACTTAAGCTACTATACTGAAAAAAAGAGAGTGGTTCTACTTAGAAAACAGAATTGGAAATAGGAACTATGAAACTATTGAAAGACATAGGAATTCATCAATGGGGCACTGCAAAAAACTGTAAAATGTTGACACTAAAGGAAAAAATACTTAGGATTCTAAATTTCTCCTGCCTTTTAGATCATTGGATTACAAAGTTGAAAACTCTTAAATAACCTTCCACAGCTTGTTTACTCAGTACAAGCAAAGAAATGGCATGTGACTGAAGGCAGATTGAAGGTATAAAATTCTTCTAACTGAAATTATAATAATCTTTTCTATGTGTTTTCCTCTGCAGTGGTTTGTAGTCCTGGAATGTTTAGTCCTGATGTCGATGTTACTTGTCAGACCTGCGTTTCCGTCCATATCTATGGAGCTAAATCTTGCCAGTAATCTTCAAACGAGAACCAAAATATGCAGACAAGAGGGGAAAGCATTGTTAGCTCATGGAGGTGGAGGACATAAGATGATTTGTTCACATCCCAGAGAATCATATATAGTTCCACTCAGTAAGATTCAGTAAGATCCAGTAAGACAAAAACATTGGACTATACACATTTTAGAAACTTTAAAAAAGATGGGTGATATGGCATTTCCAAGAAGGTATTTCATACGATATCTCCAATGTACAAAGGAAAATAGGTACTAATGGATGATTTTTAATGAGGTATGTTTTGTTTACAAACTGAATCTCTTGCTCTGTACCTCAGACTGTTAAGGTCAAGAAGAGTAGCAAAGTATAATATAATAAAAACCATACTTTTCATACTATTAATTTGAAATCACTCTTGTATGTTATAAAGGCATAAATGTTACCCTTGTAATTAAAACCAAAAAAGTTGTTTCTTTTGGTTCCTTTGTTTTTACGTTATTTTTAAATAATAGATTTTATTTTTTAGTACAATTCTAGGGTTACAGAATAATTGAGCAGGTATTATATAGACTTCCATATACCCACTCCAGCCCATGCTCTCCTCCCTCCCCAGCTTCCCCTATAATTAACATCTTGTATTAATATGATGCATGTGTTACAATTAACTAATATTGACACATTATTAACTCTAGTTCACAATAGTTCACACTAAGATTCTTTTTTTTTTTTAAAGATTTATTAATTTATGCATACAAGAGCTGGGGTACAGGCCAGAGGTGTGGGAGTGAGAAGATTCACCAGAGACAGAGTGGGGAACAGAACAGGCAGATTGACCAAAGTACACCCTTGAGGGGAGCAGTGGGCGAGTCAGGAGAGGTCTGCTGCGCCATGTGGGTTTCTCCCTGGCCACCTGGGGACGGAACTCGTGCTGCAGTGGCGGCAGGCAGCTTCATAGGTTGCATCTTAACACCTTGCGCCACCAGGAAGTCTCTAAGATTCATTCTTTATGTGGTACAGCTCTATGGCTTTGACACTTAATTGCCTTTGCTCCTTTGTCAAAGATCAATTGACTACAATTTATGGATCGGTGTGGGTCTTCTACTCTGTGCCATTTATCGGTTCACTTATTCTTTTGTCAGTACCACACTGTTTTGATTACTGTATAGGAAGTCTTAACTTTAGTTTCAGTCTTCTGTCTGTATTCTTCTTCAGTGTTATGTAAGTTATTCTGGATTTTTTAACCTTTCCATATAAACTATGGAATCAGTTTGCTAATAATTATAAAACAACTTTCTGGAAATCTGGTTTGTAATTGCATTGAATTGATAGGTCATATTGGAGAGAATTGACAACAATATGGAGTTTCTCTACCCAGAAGTATGAAATGTATCTCTAGTTCTATAATTTATTTCATCCAAGTTTTGTAGTTTTTTCTCCTTTAGATCTTGTACATATTTTCTCATTTAATATGTCATAAAATATGCTTCTTAGACTTATGCCTAAATATTTAATTTTGGTGAAAATAAATATTATGTCAAATTCCAAGTGTTCATTGCTGTTATTTAGGAAGTCAGCTGATTTTTGTATCTTAATGTTATATCCTGTGACTAGAATAGCTCATTAATTCCATTTTTTAATTTTTTTGGTCAATTCTTCAAAATTTTCTACATAGACAATCCTGTCATGCGTGAACAAAGACAGTTTTGTTTCTTCCCTCCTAATCTGTGTATCTTGTATTTCCTTGAGTTCTCGTATTGCATTACTGTGAACTTCCCACTACGATATTGAATAGGAATGGTGGGAGGGGACATCCTTACCTTATTCTTGATTTCAGAGGAAAAGCATCCAATTTCACACCATTAATGATGAGGTAGCTATAGCTTTATTAAAATAAATGTTCTTCAAGTTGATGAAGTTCTTTATTCCTAGTTTGCTAAAAGTTTTTATCATGAAATGGGTTTTGGTTTTTGCCAATGCTATTTATGCATTTATTGATAGGACCATATGATTTTTCTCTTCAGCTTGTTGATATGATGGATTGAATTAATTGATTTTCAAATGTTGAACTATCCTGCATAGTCAAAATAAAGCCTTTTTGGTCATGGTATATTATCATTTTTATACATTGTTGGATTTGATTTGCTGATTCTCTGTTCAGGATGTTTACATTTATATTCATGAGACATTTTAGTCTGTAGCTTTACTTTCTTATTATTATCCTTATCTGGTTTTAACATTAAGGTAATGCTGGCCTTATAGGATGACTTATAGGATGACTCTGCTTCTATTTTTTTGGAGGGTGAGGGAGGAAGATTGTAGAAAATTAGTATGGTTTCCTATGTTTGGTAGAATTCACTAATAAAACCTTCTCATTCTAATGCTTTCTGTTCTGGAGGGTTATTAATTATTGATTAAATTTCTTTAATAGATATAGTCCTATACAGATTATCGGTTTTTTCTTGTGTAAATTTGATAGATTGCCTTTCAAGGACTGAGCTATTTCATCTAAATTATTAAATTTGTGGGCACAGGGTCTCCTTGTGGCCTAGGGGTTACCTCTCAGCACTATCACCACTACAGCCTGAGTTCCATTCTGGCGAGGGAGCTAACCCACATATGGTGCAGCAGAACCTGTCCTGTCTCACCCATTGCTTCCCTTAGCAGAGTATTTCAGTAAATCCATCTGTTCTGCTTCCCCACTCTGTCTCTGGTGAATCCTCTCAAGCCCCGCACCTCTGGCCTACCCCCCAGTTCTTCTACACATAAATAAATAAATCTTTACCAAAAAACACAAATTTGTGTGTATAATGGTATTCATAATAGTCTCTTATATTCTTTTAATGTCCTTGGGATCAGGAATGGTGATCCCTCCTTCATTTCTGATGTTGGCAATTTGCGTCTTCTTTTTTTCTTTGTTAGCCTGGCCTGAGGTCTATCACTTTGGATTATCTTTCCATGGAACAAGCTTTTGGTTTGGTTGACTTACTTTATTGATTTCCTGCTTTCAATTTCATTGATTTCTGCCCTTAGTTTTTATTGGCTCTTTTCTTCTGCTTGCTTTAGGCTTATAGTGCTCATTTTCCTCTAGTTTATGAAGTTCGAAGCTTAGAATATTGATTTTTTATCTTCTTTTTCTAATGTGCATTCAATGCTATAAATTCCCCTCTAAGCACTGCTTTTCCTGAATCCATAAATTTAATTCTCATTTAATTAAAAACATTTTTGTAATTTCTCTTGAGAATTTCTGACCCATATGGTATTTAGAAATAAGTTGTTTACTTTCCAAACATTTGAGAATTTTCCACCTGTCTTATCTGTTACTGATTTTTAGATTAATTCCCATTGTGGTGTGAGAGCATTCTTGTATGATTTTTATTTTTTTAAACTTGCTCAGGTATTGAATTATGCCCCAAAATGAGATCTGTCTAGGTGAATCTTGCATGTGAGCTTGACGTAGAATATATGCTCTGCTGCTGTTGGGTGAAGATTCTATAAATGTCAGTTAGATCCTGTTGATTGATGGCACTATTCACTATTCACCTATAGCCTTACTGATCTTCTGTCTATTGATCTGTCTCTAACTGATAGAGGCATCTGGAATTTTCCAGCTATAATCGTGGATTCATCTGTTTCTCTCTGTAGTTGTTACTTTTTGAACTTTTTGCAAAATTGGCACATGCCATATTTTGATGCTTTGTTGCTAAGTGTATACACGTTAAGCTTGTTATATCTTGAAAATTCACCCCTCTGTCATTATGTAATGCCCCTCCCCCCTTGTCCCTAATAATTTTCCTTGCTCAGAAATATGCTTTTTAAAATATGCTTTTTAATAGCTACTTCCAGAATACCAGTTTTTTAATGCAATGAGCACAAAATCATATGTGTATTTGTATCTTCCTATATCAATAAAATCTCGACATCTTTGGAAAAGATTTATATCTAACAGGAATTCACATATTTTTGAGCATCTTTTATAAGCACTTATTACTAATTTCAGGCATTATAGTAATGCTAATAGTTGTTCTAATGTAAGTTAACTCACAATCTTGCTCTGGGCAAACTTTTCTCAAATTTTATACTTCATTCTTTCTTATCGGTTTAACATCTGCAAAGATTTCACCAGTTACTTTGCTTATGGATGTTGAATCATGAAAGCATTTTTAAAAATAATTGTTCATCCTTTCTCACCAAAAACAAATGTATACACAAGTCATTAATAATGTAAAAAGTTGGAGACTTTTTTCTGTTCAGATTCACTGAACTTCAGACCAAGAAAAAATAAAATTATTTCTTTTAGGATAAGTTTTTTTTTCTCATTTCTTTAATATCTGCTTTATTTTCTCATTTCTTTAATATCTACTTTATAAAAGAAAAATGTGCAGTGCTGACTATGTCAAATTCTTAATTAGTATTTTTATTTAAGACAATGGAATATTAGAAAATATATTCAGTTGTATCTGTTATGGCTGTTGAGAGGAAAATAGAGTCCTAGACCAAAGGAAGAAAAGTGAGAAGGAAAAAGAAAAAGAGAAAATAAATCAAAGAAACAGGAGGATATTTAGGCCCAAACCTCTTAGCAGCCACTTGTTGCTTATAGAATAAAGCACACATTTGTGATATTGCCCCCAAAGAAGTGAAAATTATTGCAAAGCAGAGACTCTAAGGTGTTAGAATGGTTTATGATATTCCAATTATATAAGCAAATATACAAGGTTTCTGTGGTGATTGAGGGGAAAATATATCTTTAAAAGCTCCTAAATGGCAGGGGGAGGTAGCCTCTAAGTGTCTGGTTTCAATTAATTTTCAGCCTTGACCCCTATTATTTCCACTTTGGGGGACTGATTGAGCTTAATGCTATTTCTTCTAGCACTAAAGATCTTATTACTTTGGCCCTTTTCTTCTAACCAGACTCACCTGGCTGCCTCCAAGACAAACCAGTCTCATTCCTCATGTTTAGAATGTTTCCCTTGTTAATTCCACTTTCTTCAAAACATTTCTTCCCAGATAGATCACTTTCTTCTTTAAATTTATTGTCTCCCACTACTAATTTTAGCACCTAATCACACTTCTGTTATAGTTATAAGGGCAGGAAGGACACAGGGCAGGTTTTCTGATCCAGCAGATGGGGTAAAGGAGGAGAGAGTCCTGGAGCCCTCAGTGGCTTTTACAGGCTTTTATTGAGATTTACCAGGTATACAGCAAGCAGAGGTGCAGGGGGCCCGGGGGTGTTGGGAGGCTGGGAGGCCTCCCAGCCCCCAGCAAGTCTTCACTCTATCTGGGCTCTCCGGCGTTCTCTGGTGGCCCTGTTCTCCGCTCCTCGTGGTTCTCTTCCTGCTTCTCTGCTTCTACTGCTTCTCTTCTGCTGGGGTCCCTGTGATGCCGCCCGTAAAAGCGGCGTCTTAGCCCAGGTTAATCCCATCTACATATGTCCACACCCCACTCCAGGTGCCCGCCATCAGGCATGCATTCGGGACCA